CCTATGCCTGAAGTCCAAAATACCATGTAGGCCATGGATGGATAGTTTTCACAAAGCTATTACTCATATCTGAGCCTTTATCCCTTATCTTCAATGAAAACCTATACAACACCCTCAAAAGATGAACGTGCAAGCTGAAATTGCCAGACACTAAAAATCATGAACTAAATGAAGGCTCTGAGTTTATTGCTTTTAGGTAGAGGGCAGGGGTCTCCTCATATCTCCTTCAGAAAAATCCTTTCACCTCTTCCTTCCTTTGAGACAGGAGTGTCTGTAGGAAAAACACAAGGAGGCAAGAGTGACCTAGAGCTCAGGAAGTCGTCTTGGTTCAGTTCCCGGGGCTGAGTCTAAAATGCACCTCAGTGGTGATGTGCGAACGTGAGAAGAACTCGATATTCTCCTCTCTGACAGAGTGAAGACATGTTCCTTCATGTACCCCACCTCTAAAGCTGGAAAAGTAGTTCTGGAGCAGTTTATCTCTGATTTCCCCATGAAGAAAAATCAGCATTAACGTGGTCTTTTTCCCATCTTGTGTTGTACTCTGGGGCTGTGTCTACACTGGGCCACTTATTCTGGAAAAGCAGCCGCTATTCAGGAATAACTTGCCAGCTGTCTACACTGGCCGCTTGCTTTTCCGGAAAAGCAATGACGATCTACTGTAAAATTGTCAGGGTTTTTCCAGAAAAACTATGCTGCTCCTGTTCGGGCAAAAGTCCTTTTCTGGAAAAACTGTTCTGGAAAAGGGCCAGTGTAGACAGCACAGTAGTCTTTTCCACAAATGCCCCGATTGGGAAAATGACGATTGGGGCTTTTTTCCGGAAAAGCGCGTCTACATGTGCCACAGACGCTTTTCCAGAAAAAGTGCTTTTCCGGAAAAGCATCCTGCCAATGTAGACGCGCTTTTTCCGGAAATACTTATAACGGAAAACTGTTCCGTTTTAAGCATTTCCGGAAAAGGGTGCCAGTGTAGACATAGCCTGGGGGAGGGATAGCTCAGTGGTTTGATCATTGGCCTCCTAAACCCAGCATTGTCAGTTCAATCCTTGCAAAGGCCATTTAGGGCATAAATTTGTCAGGGATGGGTACTTGATCCTGCTATGAAGGCAGGGCACTGGACTCAATGACCTTTCAAGGTTCCTTCCAGTTCTAGGAGATAGGCAGTCTCCATTAATTTATTTTAACTGCAGGGTTATAGTAAAAGGTATCCTCTTGTTATGCTTAAATGTGTGTTTTTCATATTGTGAATCCAGAGTAGGGGAATACAGTCTGTCAACAAGGAAAAAGGCTGGCCATAAAACCCACATCCCAGGAGAGTTTTTAGTACAGCCTTTAATTGCTAGAGGTGGTCTTACCAGATAGAGTAATACCATGTATGTTGGCAATAGCATATTGATGCACGGAGGGACAATCCTAGTCATTAGATTTTGGAAAGACATAGCAGATCCATGGAGGCTGAAAGGCATAGTCTTGAATTGGAAGAGCCCAAAGGGGAGGAGAAAGCTTTTGAGTCACCTATGAGGACCATTTTGTTAAGCTGATAGTGCTTAAGTGTTTTGCCTGTCCCCCCTGCTCTAGTTCCTCATCTATCCTTGGCACTAGGTAAGTGTTGAATTCTAAGATGTAATTTACCCATCTAAAATCAAAGCAGAACAGATCCAGACTGTATGGTTCGGGAATAAGAAGCATGGGGCTTCTCCATTCACTTTGATTCCACAATTACCCCCATATCCAGCGTGGCTTGCACGTCTTCTCAGACTGTCTCCTGCATCCTCTCTGATAGTGGTTACCCTGACCAGTTTGTCCAGGATAATTTTTGATGACATGGGGCCAACTGTTCTTCCTGGATGGATGGAGATTGTTGTTGTGAAGACACTGGTTTCTTTGCTCGGGGAGGAACGTTTTGCCCCCAGTACTGTTGTGAGTTCTAGGACCCAGGATACTTGGGAGCCCTAATTTAGGTTCAATCACAAAGGGAGTTATCAGCAGGGTCTCCCACGTTTTTCAAGGATTGAGAAGATTCACAAGATAGATTTTAGTACACCAGCCCGACCTGCCTGTCGCCGGGCCATTAATTTAGAGTTGGTTGAGGATAATAGCAACGGGACCTGGTTACCCAGTTAGAAAATCCATAGTGGTACTCCTCTCTTTCTTTCCTGGTTGTGTTGGGCCTTTCTCAAATTCTCTCTGCCAGTGTTGTGCATCTCTTGGTCTAAACTGATGATGGTAGGTCTTTTTGGGAATATCCAAGTACTCCAGGATGGCGGTTTTCTCTTGTTCATCGTCTTTTGCTTTAAAATCAGATAGCAGTAGACTTCCAGGGCCCAACCTGAAAATTATAGGCCCAGAATCAAAGCCTGTTTTTCTGGGAGCCACTGGGTGGTTAGTGCCACATGCTCAAATGCAACTTGGGTGGCTCCATGGTCATCATCCAAAGCCATGCTGGTTGATGGAGGAACCCCTTTGGAAGAGACTTGACCTGCTGAAACTCCATGGACTGGCGCTCTGCGCTGTATCCTTTCCTTTTGAAATTCTGGCTGCTGGGCCATCCGTTCCTACCACAGCTGTTGGTGCTGGGTGGTCAGAGGTGCTGCTTCTCTGTTAACCTCTTAAACACCACACTGCTTCCACTTTGGATGGAGCCACTGAGTTCCATTCCCTCTAAAACTTTAAAAAAAACCTTGTATCAGTTGTGGCTATGCCCACTTTCTCCACCATTTGGCCTCAAGACCCCCCCACCAGACCCAACTTTTGGTCCTTTATAATGTCCTTTTCCCCTGCCGGCAGACACTCAGGGGTCACTTCAAGCAAACAAATGCAAGAACAGTTCTCTCCCCTCAGCAAAGAGGGGAGTCCATAAGAAAACAAAGAGAAGTGAGGGTGACCTGGATTTCAGCCTATCTTCCTAGGTCCGTCCTTTGGGTTTTGCGTTAGAAATGTGGGTGTCTTCTGTGGGCATGGAACTGAAGCATAAGCCCCATTGAACAGGGATTTGGGCAAGGCACAGGTCCCAGTGAACAGAAACAACCAAATTCTCATCCTTAGAGGCATGCTGCTTTAAAATCCGCAGGAGCCAGTGCTTGAGCGTTGGAGGAGAGAGAATTTGGTCCAAAGAAAAGTCTGTAAATGTTTGTTCTCTTCAGGAAAATGCCGTTCTCATCTGGAGCATAATGAAAGATAAAAAGCACATAAAATCAATCTGTCTCTCAGGCACAGTCACTCTGTAGAGAGCTAAATTATCCCTATCAAAATTCAGAGCCAATGGATTCCTGGCATTAATATGAAGGAGAGCAAAGCATCAGCCAATACAGTCGAGGGATGGATAGGGTTTTTCTGGGATTTCTCTTCGCCTCCATGGCTCCTTCTTCATTTGAGGCAGCATGACTTCAGTTGAACAGCATACAGCAAAACAAGCACTGATCTCCAAGAAGCCCCTCCCAAAAGGGTGTTATGATGTATTCTTCTCTCAAAATTTTCAGCTGACCTTGTAGCATGGCACCAACATCTACCTGTGAGTAGGTTTGGGGAAGTGACTTCTTTCATGGCCCTTAGTTCAGAGGTATGTCGCCAAATGACCAAAATTCCAGAGCAAGAATAATCTGTCGGAAAAGGATATTTTGCTTTTGAAACAGAATTGGTATCTGCAGCATCAGTGAAGATATGAGAGAGCTGCAGAAGTTTCAGGAGTAAAGTAGTGGAAACGGCTGGACAGAAACTGAAATAATAAATGGAATAGTATTACTATGAGCCATTTTTATCATCATTGGTAGTTGATATTAATGTCGCAGACCACTTCCCAAAGGACACCTGTCCTCATTACAAATGTGGATCCTCGTGGATAGACAGAGACTGTTAATTTAGACCATAGATCAGGGGTGGGGAACCTAAGATCCAGGAGCCGCATCCAGCTCCCCCCAGCATTGGGGAGCCCATGCTGGCTCTCCAGCTCCCCTCCCCCACTGCCCTTCCCCTGTAGTCTGGAGTATATAAAATCTACCAGCTTGGGCCCCTCTAGGCTCTGTTGAGTGAGGGGAATGTGAGGAGTGTCTTTTCCCCTCTCTGTAGGCAGCCATGTTCATGAGGGTTGGGGGGTGTCTTTCTTTTTTTTTTCTTGTTTGTTTGTTTGTTTGTTTGTTTCTCACTTGTGTGCGGGCCCTGATGGATTTTTCTGTGGGTCAGTGGCCCAGAACTTTTAAAAGGTTCCCCACCCCTGCTGTAGATCATAGAAACTGAGCTGCCCTTCCCCCCCCAAAGATCTTGTTTTCCCTTCGAGATTTAATCATGTGTAAACTGTTTTAACACCCAAGTTAAACGACATGATTCTGAGTACAACTGCTTTGTCACTCACACAACGAAACACCCAGGTTCAGTATCATGGCTACCAGCCACTCTGGTCTGATTAGCATCTATCTAAGACTCAGAGACACCACACCAAACCTGACTTGTTCCTGTGTGTGCTGGCCAGCCAGTATCCTGTCAGTTAACACCACTGTCGCTAGTATAATATTTACCGTCTATTATGTGTAGGACAGTAGCACCTGGAGGTTCTAGAGGGTGTGATATGTATCAAAGAAGACAGGCTGTGCTGGAAGGTGCAGCCTACATGCCAGGTGGGATGAAACAGGCGCAAGGGGGAGGTAGGAGAGCAAGGTAATAAAATGCCGAGAGCTTAAGCAGAGCAGCCAAAGTCACAGTTCATTATCTGCTTAGCCAACAGACAACAAAAAGTCCAGTTTAAACCCCACTGAAATTTCCCAGGGAAGATTAGATCAGGGAGGATCCAGTGTAAATGGAAGTTTACAAGGGGCAACACGTTTTCTATTGAGGTTTGAACTTCAGTCTCTGAGGCTTTCCCCTGGCCATTGTGTTCCCGCAAACCATCCACTTACCAATTGACTGCAGGATAATCACTGTGTGTTAGGACCCTGTGGCGGTGCTGGCGTTTCTTTGCCGATGTGTCCCCGGAAACAAAACACGCATGTTTCTCTCTCTCTCTTCCTCAGGCGGAACGGCTTCCCGACAGAAGGGGTTCCTGGGATGCATCCGCGCTTTACGTTTAAATGGGCAGACACTGGACCTGGAGGAGAGAGCTAAAATGACCCCTGGGGTCAAACCTGGCTGTCCAGGACACTGCAGCAGTTACGGAAACCTCTGTCACAACGGAGGCAAATGCGTGGAGAAGTCCAACGGGTATTTCTGCGACTGCACCAGCTCTCCTTACGAAGGGCCCTTCTGCAAGGAAGGTAGGCAGCATGATGGGTCGCGTGCCTTCTCCTCGCGTCTTTTGGCAACCTCTGTGCTTCTAAATCCCTACAGGTAGGAACTCTCTCTGGTCTGGGACTGTCTGATTTGGCAGGACCAGGGATGTTACCGGACCAGAGAGCCCCAGTGGCTGGGAGTGTGCTCTGGCCCGGAAGCCAGGAGCAGAGTGGCTAGAGGCCAGGGGCAGAAGCGGGATGGCATCCAGGCCCAGAGCCACGGCCAGCAGGCCGGTCCAGAGCTAGGAGCATTCCTAGGATCAGGGCAGGCCTGGGAGCATTCCTGGGGCTGGGGGCTGGAGCTAGGAGCAGAAGCGGGATGGCATCCAGGCCCAGAGCCACGGCCAGCAGGCCGGTCCAGAGCTAGGAGCATTCCTAGGATCAGGGCAGGCCTGGGAGCATTCCTGGGGCTGGGGGCTGGAGCTAGGAGCAGAAGCGGAATGGCATCCAGGCCCAGAGCCACGGCCAGCAGGCCGGTCCAGAGCTAGGAGCATTCCTAGGATCAGGACAGGCCTGGGAGCATTCCTGGGGCTGGGGGCTGGAGCCAGGAGCATAGTCAGAGGGGGATACCAGTGGCTGGGAGGCTGGGAGGCTGGGAGCCCTCTGGAAGAGCCCAGAGGCTCTCCAGCATCAGGGAACCAGAACTTACCTCCCCTGGTCCAGCAAACTCCCTCATTTGGGACGGGTTAATTCCCAAAGGTGCCAGACCAGGGAGCTCCAACCAGCACTAAACTCAACCCATGGATTTATCCCTTATCGGTTCCCACTTGAGTATAGCTCAGCTCGTCAAAGTTTGCCCAATAGAGAGGTAACAGCTCTATGTGACCAAGATGTCACATTTGACCTCCACTGTAGCCTCAGATATTATATGCTGGGCTGGTAGCATATCTATGGTTAAGGATGCCTGACACTTCCCATTGTAAGACACTGTTCTTAGTTGCTTATAACATTGCTAACATTAAACATTTAGACTGAATTTCTCCATGACAGGCGTCTTCCTTAGGCTGATTATGTTTGGAAAATTTCAGCCAAAATGACATTGTTTCTTCTAAGAAGGAAGTTAGAGCAAATACATGGTCTTGCCTGAGTTAAATAATTCTTGATGCTCTTTTTTTGGATAGCTCTACTGCCCTCATGCTTTGGAGCAAGGCCTTGACATTTAATAGGCAGGGGGCCTTTTGCTGTCCCTAGGAAAATCCATCCAAATGTGGCCAGGTTTTAAGCCTTGGAAAAGATGCAGTTTGTACATGCTCAGTAGAGACGTTTTTAACAGTAAATTCCGAAGATTCTTTCGACAGCACATTGCAAGCCTGAGTAGATTCTGCATGTGCTGTCCCCACAGAGTCCCTGTTTTCCCATGCAAAAACTAGTATGTGACCTTGTAGTTAAAGACCATGTCATAATGAATATGCGCAAAGGGGCTAAATTAAGGTTGCCTGGCAACCTTAATTTTAACATTTCCTAACTTTTGAGTTCCTGATGCTGTGTGACGTTCCTGGAATGAGTTACATAGCTTCCTGATGCCTATATTTAGTAAAAACACTGAATACGAGTTTATTGTTGAGACTGTTGTTAATCGTGATAAAAATTAAACATCGGAGCTGTGTCTACATTGGCAAGATTTTGCGCAAAAACAGCCACTTTTGCGCAAAATCTTGCCACCTGTCTACACTGGCCGCGAGAACACTGACATTCTAATGTATAAAATCAGTGCTTCTTGTGCAAATACTCTGACACTCCCGCTCAGGGATAAGCCCTCTTGCGCAACTGTTCTTGTGCAAGAGGCCAGTGTAGACAGTGTAAAATGGCCATTGGAGCTTTCTTGCGCAAGAGAGCGTCCACACTGGCACAGTTGCTTTTATGCAAAAGCACATCTCTTGTGCAAAGGCACATGCCAGTGTAGATGCTCTCTTGCGCAAATACTTTAACACGAAAACTCTTGCATTAAAAGTATTTACGCAAAATCTTGCCAATGTAGACGTTGCCTCGGAGACACGGGAGCTGCCTCTTTAAAGCCGGAGAGGTGACATGGTGAGGGGGCTTCTGGGGGCATGTGGCTGTGGCAAAAAGAGGCTAGTTTGGGGCTATGCTGCACTAGAAGGTCTCCACCTGTAGTAAACTCTTAAAGAAAAAGGTTGAGTTCCCAGAGCAAAGCAAGTGCTCCTGGAAAAGCTGAGTCTTGAGGTCAGTGGTGCAAGCCCTGCAACCTTAGTAATGTTCTTTTGACATAGGGGTGTGTATGTGTTTGTGTGTGCATAGTATATATTCACCATCCAGGCAGTTCTTAGGAAAAAGAGATTTGGGTGAGAGTATAATGTTCAGGGAGGTATAGATCCCTTAACCAGTTTTTTAGCAAATGCTGGCAGTCAGCAAAAAGAGCTGATGAAATGTGTGTGAGGGGCAAAAACGGATTTGTAATCCACCCTAATCTTCCTCTACTTCCAAATCACAGCCAGGCTGTATGTGAGGACATTGATTTTGGCTGCCTCCCCACTGCCATGTGGAATCACTGAATACGATTCTCATTTGGTGTAAATAGCTTAGATCTGTGGAATTCAGTGGAACGATGCCCACTTGTGTGACCTGCAGATCTGGCACGAAGGTTGCACAAGACACACTGAATAAACACCAGGGTGCTGTTCCGAGGTGGGTGCACTTTCTATGGGCTTTGGGAAACTATCGTTAGAATCAGCCTACGACTTCCCAGTGAATAAGAGAAGATGTCACCCTCTTCTACTGCTGTCATCTAAGTATGGGTGTGTCTAGACTACAGGGTTTTGTCGACAAAAGTTGCCTTGAACACAGAACGGGATTCCAGTTCAGCTCTGCTCTCTGCTTGTAGTCTACGTGTTCCCAGCTCTGTGCATGCTGAGACCCTACTGTGGGGGGGACGGAGGAGTGGAGAGGGGACACCCTGGAAGGAAGTAGGAAGTTCTCCCAACATGCCGCAGTGTGCAGTCTACAGCTTGGAGTTCCCAGGGCTTCTCCTGAAGCATACTGGACGTTGGGCTACACAAAGATTTGGGGTGGGCAAGTATTGCAGGTTGGCAGCTCTGCTTCAGGCCTGTGTCCGAGTGTCAGATGTGAATGGGCGCCATCTGATCTAGATCCCTTGGTTTATGTCTTCTTTCCAGAAGTTTCTGCGGTGTTTGAAGCTGGCACCTCAGTGACCTATATTTTCCAAGAGCCTTATCCAGTGACAAAAAACGCAAGCGTTTCATCATCGGGCATTTATGCAGATGCCACCATGTCCAAAGAAAACATTGTGTTGAGTTTCCTGACAGCACGTGCTCCGAGCCTCCTGCTCTACGTCGATACCTACTTTCACGACTACTTGGCTGTGATTCTCTCCAAAAATGGTAAGCATTTGTGATCGGCTACTGGCTGAATGCCAGCATGACCTCATTCGGGGATACTGTGTGGAGACAGTGCTTGGTTCAGGGCTGCTCTCCACTGGATTCTGTGGCTGCAGCTTTATCCATTTCAGTTCATGTCCGTGGTCTTCCCTCTTGGTTATATCCACTTCGTTTGCATTCAGTGCCTCACTCACGTACTCAGTCCTTGAAGAATCATGTTGCTGAACCTTAAAAGTGCCTTGACTTTCATTCAGTAGCGGTATATGGTAGCTGAAATCCATTAGTCCTACAAGGTAAGAAGAGGAGGAAGTCTGTGAATGTACTTGGCCTATGTGTAGATCGTTGTTTTATCTTTGACCTCCTCTATTGGTATGTGTATTGCTCCTTCACATGCCCTTTGAACCACCTCTGAGCCTGGCCAGCTGAAGATCAGCGATGAATACCAAATTGAGCAACATGTGAGGTTTTCTGGCTTAACTAGCGAATCCTGTAAAGTACAAATCTAATATCAAATAGAAACTTTTGGGTGAGCTTTCCAAAAGCATCTCAAGGATTTAGAAGCACAAGTTGAATCGATTTTTTTTTTTCAGTGGGATTGTTGCTCATAAATACTTTAAATGCTTTTGAAAGATCCACTGTTTGGCCATGTCTGTACTCGGAAACTATTTCAAAATTAGTAAATTCGACTTAATTCCCAATTTAACAAAATCGAACTAGCATGTCCACACTACGGGGAAGCCTCGAAATTAGTCCAAGGCAGGCTCCATTAATGTGAATGTGCTACCTCGGACATATAGCCACAGGAAACACTGGGGAGTAATTAGTTAGAATGACACTGGAGAGTGGTGATAGAAATGTAGCCGTGTTAGTCTGGGGTAGCTGAAGCAAAATGCAGGACAAGGTAGCACTTTAAAGACTAACAAGAGTGGTTATTTTGAAATAGTGGCTATGGCGTGTCCACGCTACCATTATTTCAAAATAACTATTCCGGAATTAGCGTTACTCCTGATAAAAAGCAGGCGTACAAATTTTGAATTCCGTGGCCTGTTATTTCAAAATAGCAGACTTCGTAGTGTGGACGCTCTGCTTATAAATTTGACCTTGGGGGCGTTATTTTGAAATAAATTCCTTGTGTAGACCAGGGCTTAGTATCACAAGCAACTACATAGCAATTTTTGGAACATCTGTAAAGTATGAAGTACCAAAACCTGGGAATTGGTTACAAAGCGTATGTGGGATTCACCGATTACCCATCTAACTCGCCCACTTATACTCTGCTATTTGAAAAATGTCATGTGGACAGAATGTGGAGGGATAGAGCTTTTGCATTAATAGGCTGGAACAGATGTATCTGAGCAAATGATCTGGAGAGCGCTGAAGCTTTGTAAATCCATAAATACTCAAAGGCTCAAATGCCATCAAAGCAAACTAAAGCCTTAGAACCTGAACCTTAGTTACATTATGGTCTCTTCACTCCAGACTGTCAGTGTAAAAGGGGCTCTAAGTGAGTGTCAATATAATTTACACCCATTTAAACTCCCCTCTACACTGGTGCTCTGTCTAGACTAAACCCCTCTGTCGACAGAGAGATGTAGATTAGGCATGTCAAAATTGCTAACGAAGCAGGGATTTAAATATCCCGTGCTTCATTAGCATAAACATGGCCGCCACTTTGTTTCGAAACGGCGCTTTATCGAAAAAACCGGCAGTCTAAGCCAAAAAATGAGGTTTACAGGATCTTTCAAAAAAGGGTTTATTTTTCGACAGATCCTGGTCTAGACTGCCTTTTTTTTTTTTTTTTAAAAAAGCTCCGTTTCGGGAATAAAAGCAGCAGCCATGTTTATGCGAATAAAGTGCAGGATATTTAAATCCCTGCTTCATTAGCAATTTTGATGTGCCTAATCTATATCTCTCTGTTGACAGAGAGGTGTAGTCTAGACACACCCTGGCAGAGCTTGTCTGCACTACAGAGAAGATCGACCCTTTGGAGGTCGATCTTCTAGCATTTGATTTTGTGGAACTTGTGTAAACGTCCCAAATGGAAGACTGAGGGCAGCCTCCACTGGCGTCCTGCATTTGTCATTTCTGTGAGGGGTAAGGGAAGCCGATGGGAGAGTGTGCTCCCATCGGCCTCCTGCAGTGTAGACGCTGCAGTGGTTTGACTTAAGGAAAGCCAGATCCAGCTATGCATTGTTTGTAGCTGGATGATGTACCGTAAACCGACTTGTCGGGTTTGTGTAGACCACCAGGCCGCATAGTGGTGTAAATTGGCCTTGGTGTAAATGACGTGGGCTGCACTACAGAATGACTTTGGTATAATTTTGTGGCTCAGGGGGTAATTCACACCCCTCAGTGACGTAGTTATATGGTGCCCTTGTAGGCACCGCGACGGCCTCTCGCAGGAATAGATTAACTTACTAAGGAGACAGGAAAACCTCTCTCCTGTCGGCTTAGAATGTCTTCATTACAGCTGTGCCCACGTAGCATTTTAAGTGTAGGCTTGCCCTCTGCTGGGACTCTGTTACTCATGAAACGTTCTGTTCATCACACGCTAATTTAGAGAGCTCCTACCTAATGAGGGCCTGTTGGGTAGGCCCTAGGGCAAAGAATTGGGAATGAGAACACTTACGTTTCCTTAGGGATGGACTTAACAAAAGCAGCCTCTTCTTTTGGATTCCTGAGCCTGCACTTGTGGTTCCTGATTGCTCCAGCTGGAAGGATGGACACCAAGCACTTCCAAAAATAATGTTCCCAGGGGTGCGCCCCAAAACTAGCCATTGTGGAAATGTTACCCTGATCCACCTTGTACATTAATTTATTTGTGATTTAAGGTTCTAGGATCTTCAAATATAAAGTGTGGTGATGTATTATTATTATTATTATTATTATTAGAACTAGAGACCACCAAATGGAACTAATGGGCAGCAGGTTTAAAAAAATAAATAAAAGGAAGTTCTTCTTCACACAGCGCATAGTCAATCTGTGGAACTCCTTGCCTGAGGAGGTTGTGAAGGCTAGCACTATAACAGGGTTTAAAAGAGAACTAGATACATTTATGGAGGCTAGACGCAGATCTGTCGAAAATAAAGCCTCAAAAAATGAGGTTTACAGGATCTGTCGAAAAAGGCTTTAGTTTTGACAGATCCACATCTAGACTGCTGGGTTTTTTTTTTTCAAAAAAATGCAGCAGCCATGTTTATGCTAATGAGGCGCAGGATATTTAAATCCCGGCTTCATTAGCAATTTCAATGTGACTAATCCACATCTCTCTCTCGATAGAGAGGTGTAGTCTAGACACACCTAAAGTAACTTACAGGCTTTATTTTTCACTATATAAAGCTGATGGACCCATTGCATAAGCTAGGGGGATTGAACCTGGGACCTTAAGGGGCTAAACCCATGAGCCTCTACTGCAAGAGGTAAAAGCCAGGTAGTTTTTAGCTAAAGCTGTTGTCCATCAATAGCTATTAGCCAGTCTGGGTAACGAATGGTGTCCCTAGCTTCTGTTTGTCAGAGTGTGGAGATGGATGTCAGGGGAGAGATGGCTTGATCATTACCTGTTTGATTCACTCCTTCTGGGACACCTGGCATTGGCCACTGTGGGCAGACAGGATCCTGGTCTGGATGGGCCTTTGGTCTGGCCCGGTCTGGCCGCTCTTATGTATGGTGCCATAGTCCTCAAGAGCCCTACCCACGGATAAGGACCCCGTTGTTCTATGTGCTGTGGAAACCCAGAACAAAAAGACAGTTCCTACCTCCACAGCTTACTACAGAGATTGACAATAAGCAGCCAGCTGGCCGGATGCAGTTTGCCAGGGTTCTCCACTGGTGGGACACCAGACCCTTTATGTCCCTGAATGCCCACGGATACAGCTGCTCACAGCTCCTATTGGCTGCACTTTGCTGTTCCTGTCCAATAGGAAGCGGTGGCCCCCAGCCTGACCAATGGGAACTGTGAGCATGTGTCACTGGACACTCAGGTAAATAAAGTGTCTGGCAGCTCCCCAGTGGCTATCCTGGGTGAACCACGTCCAACCTACCTGCCATTTATTGCCCACCGCTGGGCTATGCAGCCATTTTAGGGAGAACTTGTTTCACTGACTCTGTTCACTTCTGTGTCGCTCTGATTGGCAGGCCGACTGCGGCACTCTCCACATCAAATCATTTCTCCTTTTCTCTTCTTTGACTTTTGCCCCTTGTTTGATCAGTTTTATCTCTTAGCCCTTTTTTTTCAGTGTCGTTGCAATGAAACTTATACCAATGAAAATAACATACAAATTAAGTTTTCCTCTTCTCACAGGTGTGTGCTTGCTACCAAGCTACTGAACTAACACAGTCCTCTGCAACGATAAAAGTGCTTGTGACTCCTTGTCCATGACTGGTTCTTTCTTGGGGATATCTGCCATACAACGCACTGTGGGGTGGAGTCAGATGGTCCCTGTTGGATAACTTCTTGAATCGAAGGCCTTTGCCTTGGTTAATGGGGTCGGGGCACTCACACTTCAGACAGGAGCAGTAACGCTGTTTTACAACAGCTAACCTGTCTGAAAGTCTAATGAAGGTTTATATTCCATTGAAACTTTGCACAGCGCAGGCTGCAAAGTTAATAGGAATTGATAAAAAATAATGAATAGTCTTATCTAATTCTTGCAGCATGCTCCATCCACAGAGCTACAGACGAGGTCAGTAGCCTTTATCTCCATTTACCAGTGGGAAAATTGAGACACGGGGTTATTGAAGTGCTTTGTACAAGGTCATCCAGCAGGCTACCAAGAGCACCTAGGTCTGCATAGCTCAATCCACTCAGCAGTACTTCTTGCCCTATGGTAGGAGTGGGCAATAATTTTTGACAGGGGGAGGGGCACTCTGAGAATTTGGAAAGTGGTAAAGGGCCGCACTCTTCTATGGTATTAATGGAGGAGGTGCAGGGTCTGGGATGGAGGTTGGGTGCAGAGGGGAGCTTGGGGTAAGGGACTGGGATGCAGGAGGGAGAATGGGGTCTG